ACTTTCAAAATGAAAAAGAAATAGTAACCAAACGAAAATTTTTCTCGATTAAAACTTTTCAACCCCACTTTAATTAAAAATAAACTTTTTTTTGTCTAAATAATATAAATGTGGGTCACGTTCATACCACAAAAAAAAACATTTCTATCTAAGAATCCACAATCTCTCCCATAAATGGGACATTTACGCCTTGAATATGCCCAAACTACCCATATACCCAAACGCCTTTCATTGAAAATCGCTTCGAGATAAGAAAGAAATATTTCCGAATGCAACAAACTTTCAGAAAGAACTTCAAAATCGTAGATTTTTAACCGTTTAATAAAAAGTAGTAAGTACCCTTTAATTCCAATTAATCACCGAAAATTACTGAATCACTAAATAAATCATCATGCCAAAGAGATCAATACTTCCGAGTAATTTACGTTCACTTTTGGGTTCCTTTCTCTAGAACCGCACGAGAGTTCGAAAAAGAAAAACGATCTGGAGGTATCGATTCTCGTTCGGGTTTTGATATCGGAAAAACGTCGTTGTTTGAACGACAACGGGGAGTATTGTGTCGATTACAAGAGTTGAAGTGTTAATAAAAAAGTCGGAAATCACAATATATAATATTTTTACTTATATTCGAATCGCAATTTGCCCTGGAAAGGAATAACGCGAAAGGTTTTTACGAAGCTATTTTAATCCGGTCACTCGGCGACGTGAATTATCCAGTGATAAATGGCGAAAATGGAAAAAAATTGAGATTACGTGGGAGTTGTAATATAGATAATCCTTGATTTATGCGTTCTTTTCTTCAAGTAAATGTAACGGCGAAAATTACGTTTTCAAATTAATTTGATATAATAGAATTTGAAATTGAGTCCCATTAATTTATAGTTGGATAATTTGAAATTTAATATGCGCACGCCTTTAATAAACGCACAGATGTAACATTAGAAACACCCACACCTATTAATTGTCGTTTCGTGTTGATTAAACTTAACATGCAAAGTGAGTAGGTAATATTCACTGACATTGTGTCTATGTATTATTAATCATGGTGACAAATGTTCTGGTGGAAACTATTTTTGATAAATAATTAATTTTTATCAATGTCATTAATAATTTCAGATATAAATCATTATTTAATTGCCGTTAATATAGTTGATATTGTTTAAAAAATATATTTTTTTCACTGACGTTTTTATATCCATTACATTGAGACAGGTCAGGCTTAATCCAATCGGACATCCTTCGAAGGGATATAAGTTTCCAAACCTTTGTGACTTTTGATTGCCAATTCTTTTTCCTAGTGATCACTTGGTCTTCCTTTCCTCTTCTCTCAGTTTGTCACAAGAATCTTACAACTCTTACTGCTCTGGAATTAGGTTTATCATGATTCAGTGACAAAAAAACTACATGAACATTATTAAAAATTTTCACGTAAGACCATCTATTGACATAAACATAAAGTAAATAGTGATGGAAAAAGTATTGCATATCTATTGCTGCAGGTAATAGAGGAGTGTCTATCAATTCCATACAATACAATGAAACGAAAACTTAAAGAACTGGAAAATTACAACTCAGAGGCTATAAACATAATAGGTATGGACTTATTTGCAAATAAAGATGTTCAGAAAACTATAATCGAAAATGAATCCGAAAATAGATCACTATGCAATAACTACTAAAGTGTACTTACAAAACAGGAAGTGATATGCTGCTGAAAAGGAGGCCTATAAAAATGGGTTTCACAACAAGTAAGATATCATATCTTACTTGTTATAACGTTTCAAACGTTATAAGATGGACTGACAGAAAGGTAATGTGTTATAAATATGGAAAAATTCTTGCCATAAAGGATTGTTGAAACGAGTAAACAAAATGGTCATAAGGTCGAGAAAAACGAAACATTTATTAATCGATAAAAGAAAGTGGAACAATGAGTGCAGGTTATAAAATGGAAATGCGTTATAAAGTCCGAATAATCCAGGTAAACGTACCTAGTAGTAAAAGTAGAACCGATGAACTTGATGAAGCTGCTATAAAATTGGAAATCACGGATATAAAAGTGTTCTATTAACGGAACAAAGCGAATACGTTGCTATCAAGACCAGCGAGAAAATATTTATAGGACGTTATTTATCATCAAACGCCATATTCATTAGTAAGATGTTAGCGGATATAAACTTAGAAATATCTTATATCGATACAACTGTGTGCAACAATGAATTAATAAGCTATATTGAAAGTTGAAGTGTTAAGCAGTTATGGAACAGGAAAACCCAAATGATTACTAGAATATAGTTTTTAAATAGAAAAGGTTAGAAAAGGAAATGTACAGAAAGATTGTTTTGCCAAATCTCATCGATTTTATAAAACTGTGCGCAGTAACTATCACTGGAAAATAAACAAGCTTCCGAAATTAGTGTAATAAAACATCCGAGCAAAACCTCTTGCAATTAGCGAATTGACACAGCTGCGTCATATTGATTATTTCATTTATCGCCAAACGGCAAAAAAAAGAATTCTATATAAATGGTCACTTACAACACGCAAATGTGTCGGGGAGCATCGATGACTTCTAAAGCACCATACCACATATTCTTTTTTGCTTAATAATATAGGAATTTGAATCCACCTAATAATCAGTGTTGTGGAATAAACAACAAAAGAACGACCGACACCAAATCGAGTACTTTACTGACCTATGAATGAAGAATCGAACCATCGAAAAAAAGCAGAATGATTTTATCAAATATCAATAATTGATGATTTCGCGAAAGAGCTTATCTAGACGACACTTTTATATGTTTCTTTAGTTTATTTCTAACACCAGTTTTATACTTTTAAATTTAATACCCCCGTTCCAATACATATACCATGTATAAGCAAATACCTTAAAAGAGGAATAGTGCCGTGTGTAGGCAAAACTACATATGAAATTGAAAAAAAACCGTGGGCATTTTCGTATTATTAAATGATAATGAATTTTGTATTAGTAATAGATTGTGCAACTAATAGATTCCAAATTTTTTTCGGATTACACTTACAATTGCCTGAATCTTTTTATTTAAAACACTATTCTTCTTTTTAACTCAATTTGCTTAATTTACTCAGAGGAGGTAGTTCTGAGATCGAACAACTGTTATCAATTTTGTTGAAACTGTAGCTATAAAAATTCGAGATTTTTATCAATTATATTTGTATCAAAAATACAAAGCGTTCAAAGTATTATTTTCTTTATCATTGCATATGGACGGATCTTACGGAAAACTCACGAAGAAATTATTAACAGAAAGAAAAAAAAACAAGAATAATAATCAACTGTCGACGTAATTAAGAAGTTTTTGGAGAAAGCAAAAAGTACCGAAATGTTTAAGAGAACAAAAAAATTAAGGACTATTTGGCAAATAGGTTAATGATATACAACGAGAAAACGTACAAGATATCCAGGGGCATCCCACAGAGGTCGATTATAGGGCTACTTCTTTGGAACATCTATTTCGACGAAGTTGTGGTGGGGAATTCGTAAGACGGTCAATTAGTGGCTTTCGTGGACGATTTAGCGGTAATAGTAATAAGTTAGAAAAGAGAAAACATAGAAAAGCAGAAAATAACGTGAAAGTACTAATACGTAGAGTGGTTGAAATAGGGTTAGAGTTTCTTAAAAAGCGGGGGAGTAATACTCAAGAGGAGCAGCAGTACGATAGATGCCTTAGCATTTATTTAAGAATTATTTAGTATAAGGGAGTATACTCCATCTTTAATGGAGTATACAATAATAAAGCACAAAATAGTTTGTGCCTTATTAAGTATTGATAAAACTTGAAGCTTAAGATGGTTTAGTTGAGCTGAAAAAAAAATGGACATTGAGGCTTGATTGATACGAAGATGTCAACGAAGAGAAATACATTTAGACGAATTTGTTCTTGCACAGTAGGGGAAGCAATGACAAATGTGTCTGTAGTGGAGGCAAGGATGATGTAACACATACCTTTTTCTATTACACATGATAGAAGAAGAAACAAGATAACGCAGAATCATAAATAGGAGAAAATATGGCACCAGCAAAGTTCTCGAGAGCGATATAATCTGGACACGCGAGATGCTAAGCAACAAGGAAAGTGACGAAATGAATACTGGTGATATTGAAGGAAGGTGGCAAAGAAGCAGTAAATAAAATTTGACTTACAAGAAGAAGGTTATAAGAAATTAAGGCATAGAAAATGATAAAGGAAAGGAAGAGAGGACGAAGAAGGAAAAGAAGAAGAAGGGATTGAAGTATACATAGATAGAATTGGAACGGTGCTACAAGAAAGAGGAGCAAGAGTAGAAGCACGAAAGCCAACTCGAGTACTTTTTTTATGATAAATAGATTAAGAAATGATCCTCAAATAGAACTAAGCAATTGAAGAAGAATATTTATCGATAGAAAGATGAGTGGGGAAATGAAGAAATGGAAAAAAGGAAGAGTGAATGAACTGATTAAAAATTAAATAACTTAAACAACATTAAACAATCTTTTAGTATCAATGATTCACCTTAAAGTATCCAAATTCATACAATTTTAATCTTAAACGTCAAATTTGTCATTTCTCTTGACAATTTTCTTCATAACTACATAAAATAACCAATTTCTTTTAGTAAATAATTTTATAAAACATTCGTTAATTTAAAATTTTTATTTTCAAGTTACTGTTTTAATAAATATATTAAAAGTTGTTATTTTAAAATCTTAGTTTTCTAATCCTAAGTATAGGCAACCAATCTAACCCACTCGTATATTGACTTGCTTGACATACGTGTTTTGATTTTATTTTTCCATAGAAATGTACATCGTTAAACTAATTTTTCCCATATTAATTATTATGTTTGTATATCTCAAATATGTTATAAAAAATTGTACTAAATTAAAAGTAAATAAGAGTGATAAATTAAAAAGTTATCCTTTTTTTATTAAAGGTTGGCTATTGTTAGAGGTCGTGTAGGACGCGTCAGTTCAAATCTGACGCCAACTTCAGATTGTTCCGCGAACGTCAACGATGTAGTATCAAACGTTTATCGCGGATTGTTGATTAGATATCGCCAGTAGTTGTGTGGTAAACGTAAAAACGGGAACATGTGTTCGCTCGCCGTTCAAGTACGGTAGTGTATTATCAAGTTCGACACTGTACGGAGTGTAAAAAACGATCAAAATGGCAGGCAGGAACAGGCCTGCCCAACACAAGAACTTTTCGAATATCTTTTCGAAATTTCAGGGTGCTTTTACGGATGCTTGTAAGCACCCGCGATATGCCACCGATAAACGGACTTTAGACAAGACATGGAAATTAATGGACAAAGTCGTTAAATTGTGTCAACACCAAAAAATGAACCTAAAGAACTCGCCCCCTTTCATCCTGGACATCCTTCCCGATACCTATCAACGTTTAAAATTAATCTATTCCAAGTACGAGGACAACATGGTATCCTTAAATAGTAACGAACACTTTAATATATTTATAAATAATTTAATGAGAAAGTGTAAGCAAGCGATCAAACTCTTTAAAGAAGGGAAAGATCGAATGTTCGATGAGAACTCACATTATAGACGAAACCTAACAAAACTTAGTTTAGTATTTAGTCATATGTTAAGTGAACTTAAGGCTTTGTTTCCTAATGGAATGTTTGCTGGTGATCAATTTAGAATTACCAAATCTGATGCTGCTGATTTTTGGAAAAATAATTTTGGCAATAGGTAAGAATTTCAATTATTTATTAATAATATTTATAAAATTACAAGTATTCAATGATTTTAAAATATTTAGCGTAATAAACGAAGAGTGATTTATAAGTTATTCATAAAGGTATAATTCCATGACTGAGGGCAGACTGCAAACCGTAGGCGAAACTACTGATTATCATGGAGATACATGTATTTTTTGTTGTTATGAATAATTTCAAGAATGTTATCTGGGTAAAATAATCAAAAAAACTATAATAATGATAAAATCATTATTAATCCCTTAAGAACCGATTCTTTTTCAAATACAAATATGTATAGTAAGCCCCGAGATATCTCCTGGTCCTTAAGGGGGTAAGCCTGAACGTTCTAAAACGTATATAAAATAGGAATTTGGTACCGTTTCGCACGTGAAACTCACAAAATCCTATTTTATATGTCCGTTTTATTTTTAAACTCAGCGTCCTTCAAAAATTACCTTCGATACGCGCTTAAATTAAAATATATATAGACGTCAACGTTAATTATCCGTAATAATTTTCGAAAATGTTATTAGAGTTAACGTTTTATCGAAAGAGATTAGATTTTTTTCCCCGTATATGATGAATAAAAACGATTAGAAAAGGAAAACGTTCCGAATTTAGTTGGTTCACCAATGCGCATGACATATACCGTTCTAAGAATGAACGGGCGGCTCTCTCTCTGCCCCATTCACATAGACACTTCATTGATAAATATACGGTCTATAAACGGCGCATTTTTTTTTTTAATTTGATTTGGCGCTCGTTTTGCAAACGATAATATTTTTAAAAATACAGGTTGATTTATTGTGTCGTAAGTGTTGGGTCTATGGACAATTTCTAATTTACAATTTGACGTTAATGAGTGGCTATTAAAAAGGAAATCATTCCGGTTTTTTTTTTTATATATTTTTAAAATAGAAAATAAAATTGTATTCAAAAAAATAAGTTAATACAAATTTTTGTTTTAACTTTTATAAGCTTGTTTTGCGTGGGTTCATTTTGCTGCCCACGCAATAATATCGAGAGTGAGTTGTTCAGATTAACCACTTGAATTAGTAAATGTGTGCCTTGTAAAAGTTATTTAGGTCGTACATCGCGTGTTTGACCTTTTCTACGAAGAATTTTTCCTACATTTATTTCATGCTCAATCAAATGATTTATTTATCTTAATCGATTTTCAATGATGTCATGTTGACATCATTCTTTTTAATTTTTTAGTTGAAATGAATTTCTTGTTAAATTGATGATTATACCTGAGCTTAAAACGTATCTATTTATCAGTGAGTTTGCTACTTGAGTTTATTTACATAATATTATTAGATTCCTTCCACGAAAAGGCAGTGCTTTTATTTTTGTATTGTATAAATTGGCCTTTGTTCTCAGTTTAGTATAATATTATTATGAAACATTAATATAGGCTAAAATATTTTATACAAAATTTATTACAACTTACACTTTGAATTTAAATTTTGTACTAATTTCTTATATTCAACATTTTTATTATTAATCTTCTTACTTTCTTTCCTATATAACTAAAGGTTTTTATCTGATGTATACATTGATTTAGGTTAAGTTACGACTACATAAACTCTTAGATTTATTCTTATTCTAGAAACTATGTTTATAACTGTATGTTGAACTTGCATGCATTAAAAGAAATTTTCTTATCTTTTGACACAACTCAAGTTCAAGCTGCCAAGGAGGAGGACTGTGATGACATTGATCTTGACGACTCAAATCATAGCAATGACTTTCAAAGAACATCTCGACGGCTAAATGATTAAGGGACCCATTAAAGAACCCACTTGAAAGTGATGAATAATACAATCACAATGATTCAAGAATCCTGCATTAATTAACCCAGAATTTGTCCACTTAACCCCACGTTTAAAAGCTTTTTGATAAGATATTCAAGGAATTGTTACAATAGTTACAGTGATCTTAAGCGCCCTCATTGAATAAGAGATGGATTTATCAATCGGATAAATTTAACAAGAGGAGGTAAAAATGACTCTTTGTAGAGTAAGTATAACTTAACCCATTATCACCACGAAGATCCGAACCGTCATTGTACCGTTAATTAAAAGATAACAGAAATTACCATTGTCTTGATATATCCGTTATTAACACACCGAGTCTAAAGCAGCCTGATACTTCAAGGGCAGGTAAATAGAATTTAATAATCAGCTACGATCCAATATAAAAAGATAAAGTATTAACAATGGAAAAAATAAGTCATTTCTGGATTTAATTTATGATTTTTGAATCGAGATTCAACATTCATTGTGGAATATGTAGTAGTATTTATTTTTCTATCAAAATCAGTGCTGCAATGTTTCGACCAACCATGTGGCCTGCATCAGACGCGACTAAAAGTACAATATAAAAAGAAACAATGGATTTAATAGTCAATATTAAACATTAATATGATGTTGAGGAGCAAGGCGAAGTATTTCATCCTCAGGACGTAACATCATTCTGTTTTTTAAATTCACTATTCTATAAGTATGTCAAAAGTGATCCGAAACTTGCGGATTTGAGACATTGCTTTATATCGGACAAGAGGTGAATGATACAATATAAATAATAATATTGTTAAATTCAATAGGCGAATATTTTAAAAACTTATGGAATGTAGAGAAAGGCAAAGAATTAAATACTTGTATGTCAATACAATATACTTTGAAAAGTTTTCCATTTTACACAATGTTTTTCATTAACGTTTTGGAACCAAACTTTCACTTGTTGCTCCGCTCGATTTAAATCTGTTGCAATTTCTTGGCATCTCGTTCCTGATAAATATTTGCACACTGATATGGATCTTCAGCATGAACAATTGTTGAACTATCTCAAATTAAAAATTGTTTTCTAATTTTGACAGAATCCAAATATCGTAATGCGAATAACCTCACTAAGTAGTATTCTGCTGCTATTTCTTTTTGTTTGACGTGCAGCTCATAACAAGCGAATTTCTGGATTAGCTATTATCTCCGCATATCTATAAACTGTCTTGTTGTATATAGCATATTAGTGTTATTTTACGCAAAAAAGATAATTATTGAGCTACATGAAGATAAGTGATTTTCAAAAATACCTAATTGGGTAGGATAAATCATATAATTAAATTATTTAATTGACCACTATTATGATAGATCTTCGTTACATTCTAAAAACATTATTAGACAAGTAGGGAATAAATAATGATATAATGGCAAAGGGAAAAGCAATTAACACAGAGACGTTGCAGATAAAATTGCTATACACTGTCGGAGAAGAAGACGCGAAAAACAAGAAACCTGCGAGCATTCAATAAGTCGTAATATAAAAGGATGCAGAAAGTCGCCAGAAAGAAAACAATACAACCCGAACAAAGCTACAAGGAAAGATGCTGGAAAAGTGTCCGAAGTACGCATAATTTGAACAGATATTCGGATTCAATTTTAGACATCTTATGGCAATGGATTGGGTTGGATCGATGCCTTAGAATGAATGACTTCCTGAATGTTTGTTTTGAGCTTAGGGATAATCTGTTACTTGCTGTATCATATGGCCGTTTTGGTAACATTCATTTCCATGTTGACTTTTCCGCCTATATTGTAAAAGCCGCAGTAGCCATTGTAGTCCATCCACTGTGTCTACAATTAATGTAACATTTTTAGTTCGTCTTTTCCTATCTTTTTCAGCTCTGGCTGTCACCCACATTCAAGAATATTTCTTCTGTGCTAAATATCTTTATTTTAATTGTGGTAATACTATTTATATTATCATAAGTAAATGCTCAAAGCCCTAACATCATTCACCACATTATCCTTCTGAGAAATCTAATCAGTTATCAATTTATAAATGTGGCAGGCAGATCCTCCCGTCCAACATTTTACTCAAATGCTTATGGTGTTATACTTGAAGGGTGATGACAATTCTTGTAATGTCATCAAAATCGCAAACTTCATCTCAAAATCACAACCTGTCATAAAGATGATCCCCAATAAACCACGATAACACGAAACAAGGCAAAACTCTAGATCTTTTTTAAAACTTTCTAAACTAAATCATACTTCCTAAAGTGTTCATATTAGTAAAATAATCCAGCAAAGATGTGCGTTCTAGTGTTTATTAATTTTTCCGTTATCTTCAGTATACTACCAGTAAAAAGATTAATCTATAAATATACATTAGATAGCATTTTGATGGTCGCCTACTCTTATCCTTCAGCAATGTCGTCACTATTTTCTAGTCAGTAATCTGTAATCTCTCATACATTATTCATCAACTTAACTAAATTTATTATCGGAAATTAAGTTTCCTTTAAAGCGTTTTTACTTAATTTTTTTTTATCTTTGTCTTAAGGTTTTCGTTTATCGGAAATTTTGCAAAACTTGAATTTGAAAAATTATTTTTAATTTTTTCTTTAATTATTTTATTTCAAATAATGAGTTTTTAATAACTTAAGTTTCTATATCTTAATATTTATCTTAGCCAAATATTAAACTTGTTCGGCAAGCATATCCAAAATTTAATTCGTCTTTATTTGCCTTTCGTAATTTGAAAAAAATTGTGTTGTTTTATATTATCCTACATGCCTATCATTCCAACTTTGCCTCTTTGGATACGGAATGCTTTGTTGGGGTCATTCAGTCCATGCGGACAGCGTCTTTTGTGAAGAGATATCTTTTGAGTTATGGAAATTCATAACTTGTGGAAGTAAAAATCACTAAAAACTTTAAAGCAATATTTAATTTAACATATCTTTGGTAAAATAAATTGTTTAGATTTATGTAATCTTATATCTAGTAATAACTATTAGATATAAGATTACAAAATGCTTTTGAATTTTATTTCTTAAAGTCGTGATTGTAAAAACTAAATTAATAATAATTGTGAGGTAAATTTTGTTTTACCTTACAAAAAAATTACGAGTCATGCTGAATGGGTGGTATTTAATATTAGTAATTTGTATTTACACGAATAAATCATTTTGAATTGATAAAGCAA